TAGTTATCATAAAGTAGGCCCAGCATTTATGCTTATTTCGGCTGAATTTACATTTATCAATTTACATACTTTTATCCAAAGTGACTTTCATTGCACTAAACTTACATTCGATAAGTTCATACATTTTCTAGGAATCAAGCAGAAGACCTCAGTGTTCATTATTGTGTGGTTTCATCTGGCTGCAAGATGCACAATGGTGATGAATGTGCCACTGTCGCATTTAAACTTTTGGCGTGTGCTAATAAAGAGTTTTACAGTGATGAACAAAGACAAAAGTGCAAAAACATACACAAACGTTTCCCAATGCACCCAGCAGTGTGTTACAATGAAATAGAGCAAAGACCAATGAAGCACATGTCACATGCTCAGTGACATTTTCTCAAGTCAGAACTTCTCGGGATGTCCACTTGGACGCCATGATTCATGTCTAGGCTTTGACATCATGTACATCAATTAAGAACAAGACCAAATTAAGACAAGACCAGCTTGGCTGCATTATTTATGTTCAATCAACCATCTGATCTGACTTCATCACATCTGTCTCTGGGTAAATACACATCACAGATGATTATTATCTGAGTGATGAGAATTATAATTATGTGAAACTTGAAATAACCTAATATATTTTTGTGTGATATTAGAAGTGACTAATTTCAAAAACATTTCAAAAATCTAACAGTAAATGTTTCCAAACTTTTGTCTGATATGATTTATCTTTTCATAAATAATTGTAAGCAATGCAAAAATGGATTGGCTAATATTTGCTGATTTCAGGTTAGATTGAAAGTTTCAATGCATTTTATTTGCTAAAGATCTGTTCAAGTAAATAACTAATGATATACTTTTATAATGCATTATACAAAAACTCAGAAAGGCGGAGTAGCACTTAAAAAAAAAACTTTTGCTGATAATTTACTCACCCCCATGTCATCCAAGATGTCCATGTCTTTCTTTCCTCAGTCGAAAAGAAATTTAGGTTTTTGATGAAAACATTCCAGGATTTTTCTCCATATAATGGACTTCAATGGGAACCAAACGGTTCAAGGTCAAAAAGTTTCGGTACAAACTGCAAACTGTTCGAAGGGCTTTAAACGATTCCAGATGATGAATAAGGGCCTTATCTAGCGAAACGATCGCTCATTTAAAAAAAATAATAACAAAGTTTAAGTTATATTAGCTCAAGTGGTCACCATGCTCTGTTCTGTGATGCACGTTTGTGACTCCTGTTCGAACTCGTTCATCAAAATGAACGAATCTTTTTCGTGTCATTTGGGTTATTCAACGAACGAAATTACCAAATTGACTCTGAAATTGACAAATTGAAAAGATTTGTTCATTTTGATGAATTTTGAGTTTGAACAGGAGAGTCAAGAACGCGCATCACAGAACAGAGCAAGGCGACCGTTTGTGCTTATAACACTTAAACTTTGTTATTTATTTTTTTTAAATGAGCGATCGTTTCGCTTGATAAGACCCTTATTCATCATCTGGAATCGTTTAAAGCCCTTTGAACAGTTTGCACTGAAACTGTCTTTTGGACCTTGAACCGTTTGGTTCCCAGTAAAGTGCACTATATGGAGAAAAATCCTGTAATATTTTCATCAAAAACCTTAATTTCTTTTCGACTGAAGAAAGAAAGACATGGACATCTTAGATGACATGAGGGTAAATAAATTATCAGCAAAAGTTTTTTAAAAAAAAAGTGAACTACTCCTTTAAATAAAGCTCTTCTGCTGTTCACTATAGGTCCTTTATGGGGAACCAAAAATGGTTATTCTAACATTGCTGAGAGAAAAAAAAAAACCGTTTGAAATATGTTTTATTTGAATGTTGATTTATTAGTGTTTTTTTATTTTTATGTTTAGCACATCAACATTAGTGTACACGCGCGCGCACACACACACACACACACACACACACACGTACAATGTAACGCAGCTGTATAACAGTAATTCTTCTGTCAGGAACAGTCTGTTAGAGATTTGTCTGTCTCTCTCACTCAGTGTCAGCATGGCTGGACCTTCTGTGTTGCCCACAGAGACATAGCTTCTTCTCCTGTCAGAGGATATTTTGCTGTGTGTGTGTGTGTATGTGTGTATACGGGACCCTGGGGCAGGACAGCCACATCTCTGTTTGTCAATAGCCAGAAAAGAGAAGACACGGTGACAAAGGCTCAGGCTGAGATGACAAGCAGATGGTACTCTTAACCTGCACTTAGATACTGTATTGAAAACCAAAAAAATCATCAGTAAAGGGCTTACTTTATATAGCCTTATAGTGTTCAAGATATTGCAGAACTGCCAACAGCATGATCAATGTTTTTACTGATTACTGACTACTTATCGCCTTGTATGAAGTCGAAGCTTTGCACAGACTATAAAGGGTACAACTACAGCTAGTCTAACGATTAAACAGTAAGCTACTGTTGTAATTTTGAGAGTAATAAAAATGTCAAACACATAAGCCTACTATTTAGCACAGAACAATTTACTTCATTGTTTTTTACTTACAAAGATTCGAATCAATTGCGTCTAGGGTGACCACCCGTCCCGCGTAGCGCGTGCGCGCACAGCGTTTGAAGCCCAATTCATGAGTCCCGCAAATTGAGACCGTGTCACGCATAATCAATGGTTGCTCAAAAAAAAAAAAGAAAAGTCGGTCAGTCTATATCCTCCTCGAGACCCAGGCAGCCAAACATTGTGCCTGAACAGGTTCACGTTCATGAACTCGTTCATATTTTGGGTGAACTGAACGTATTGTTTTACTGCCTGTCCTGATGGGGTGCCAGATTTCTATAGAGCCTTCCAGGCAAAAACCCGGCTAAAACTCGCCGTAAACAGGGCTTAATATGTGACGAAAAAAACACCCAATCTGGCAACACAAGCCACCAGTGGCACCGCGGCCGCCGTCGACAAAGGCGTCGTATGATAATTTAAACGGATTTTATAACGAGGTCGGTGAAGATGGGAAATCTTACATTTCTGTGCAAACTTTGAACTGAACTAGTTCATTTTAAAATGTGTGAACTGAACTTTGAACTAGTTCAGAAAGTGAGAACTTCCCCGGTTGCCACTCCCACGTGACCTGCTGACTAGGTTGTTGTCAACTTTTTCATTGTTGTCATGACAGCACACCTTATCGTTCCGTGAACCTCTGGAGTTGTGAGTTTAGACTTTTTTCGACTTTTTTAAAAACTGTTCCTGTGGTGTTGAGCAACTATAATTCCTGTTAATCCTATAATTTATCTTTTTATTTATTTAAAGTGAATTAATTGTAATGAAAAATAAATACAATTAAATAGCTAAAGTAAATCGTAAGTGGAAGTGCATCTGTCAATTCATTGAATGTTCAAAATATTCTTTTTATTTAGAAAAAAATACACATTGGTCGGCCTATTCATGAGCATATATCAGCAATTACACATGTTTAGGGAATAGGGCATTATTAATGCATGTGCTAAGGTATGTGCTTTTTTTTTTTTTGAACAATTATTCATGTACAAACAGTAAGGCAATAGTAACAATTCTAGATATGGGTAAACCACTATCAGAGTCTGCCCGTGGGGTGGGGACACCGCCGCGCCAAGCAGTGTCCCACATTGTCCCTCAGAAACATACCCCTTGTCCCCCCTTGGGCTTATTAGCAGGTGGTCACCCTAATTGCGTCGCAAAATGATTCAGCGTCTCAAAGCGAAACACCACACGCTGGTGACACCTGCTGGTCAAAATAGTGTAAATGCAACACAAACTAAGGCCAAACATGCACAAAGAAAGCTTTTACAAACCCATTGCAAATGTTTTGTTGAAAGTATAATCTATCACATGCAATTAACGAATCATCTTATTTTCTAATAATCGATTTCCAGGGCTTGTTTTGTTTGTTCTATGGATAGCTCAACTAAACAAGCAAATATTAGCTAGCTTCTATTAATGCCTGTTTATTCCTTTTAATTATTTAAAAGTCTAATTAAAACGTCTACAAATGTATAACACTGATCAGACTAATGTAAAAACCACAAACGTCCGAAATTCCCTACTGTCTGTAGATGCTATAACTCCTATTTCTTTCATTCTTCAGCTCCTCTTTGACTCTGTTCATCATGGGCAAAGGCACTCAATTAGGGACAGACAGAGCACATGGAGTGGTTAACTTTGAGTTTGATTTTGTACTTTCCTTCCAGTTTTCCAAGTCCCATGAAGACTTTTGGGAACAGCTCTTGTAGTTTGGGTCTGATGTTTGAATCGCATCCACTGTGTAAGTAATTCCAGCTCTTTTATGGCAGGTAGTCCTAAGAGAGGGGACACAAGTCTTGGTATCACAAACACTGGGTGTTTTATCACTCTTCCCTTGACAAATATTCCAGCTGTCAGAATCAGTTCCCCCACCAATATGATGAGAGATGTTGATGTGCTGTAGTGTCTTAATGAGGAGCTGTTTTTAAGACATAATATTAAATGTGTTTTTAAAGCTGCCTTTTCACTGAATCTCACTGACCTTCAGTCATGTCAAAGTTCCTCCAGTTTTTTCTGAAACACACCAGACTTCGACCTTGTATTGGGTGTGTTGTGTAGGCACAGTTCTAATGGCATTATATAAAGCACATTAATTTTAAATGCTTCTATCTCAGCAGGGCATTATAATTAAAATACTCATTCTAAAAGTTCCATGTGAACCTTTAAATATGACTCATAATTATTAGTTATTTGGAGCTCCATCTTTGCAGAAGTCTCCATGCTTTTGAAGCTTCAATATTTAGTATGTTGTCTCCATCTTGTGGACAAAGAATAAACTTCAAGAGAAAGTATGGAAAATTACAACTTCGCCACGCTTTGACTATCAATTAAAACAACAATAATAATAAAAAGTTTATTGTATAATACATTCTTATATAATTGTTTAATCTCAATAATAATATAGCAATAATTTCGATCAACACTTAAAATATATTTATAGGCCTACTGTATATTGATGTCCCCGTCCCCACCAATTTCAAAATCAAACCTACGCCACTGGATTGAGCGTGATGGCCGACAGAAGATCAGTTACAGGACCTAACCCGTTCAGGGCCTTTATGTGAGTAGCAATTGTAACTTGATACAGAACTTATAAGCAGTGAAGAGAGGATACAATTGGTGTTATATTGACCTGGTTGGAACGGCATTTTGGACTAATTGCAGCTTGTATTGAGGATGCAAGGGAACCAGCTAGTAAGCTAACTTAGTAGGCTAATGCAGCTAGTAAAGCAGCTAGTAAAGTTTGATGCATTCATTTATTTTGTTTCAACCACTCTTCAAAGTTATTTTTCTTTATGTGAACGGTATCAAAAAGGGCTAGAAAGAAAGAAAGACATTTTATGTTTTCTTTAAAAAACCCAGCTATATCTATTGTGGCCTATTTAGAAGTGAGTAGGCTAACTATGGTAACTAAACTTGTTTTCCCACATGAATGCGGGGGAAAAAAATCTAAATCTTACACTCTTAAAATGGATGTGTTAAAAACAACACAACCTGTGTTATATCTTAACACATCTGTGTGTTTAGTTAAGGACAACACATTTTGTGTTACTTTTAACTCAACCAGTGTGTTATTGTTCTTAACACAGGGAGTGTGATTTCACTAAGTTTGCACTTTGAATTAGATTAAAATGTAGCAACTGACAAAATATTGTGTGTAAATAAGTTTTATTTACACTGGTGCACTCTTATAAAATGATTTTGTAAATAACACAACCTGTAAAAAGAGATGTTAAAAATGACACATGCTGTGTAGATTTTAACACATAAAGTGTGTGTGCTTAGGGACAACACATTTTGTGTAGATTTTAACACATGTTGTGTAGATTTTAACACATGTAGTGTGTGTGTGCTCAGGGACAACACATTTTGTGTAGATTTTAACACATGTTGTGTAGATTTTAACACGTTTTGTAGATTTTAACACATTTAGTGTGTTTGCTCAAGGACAACACATGTTGTGTCAAATTTAACACACAACCCGTGTTGTTTCTTTACACATCTCTGTGTTTATAAGGATTACACATTTTGTGTTACGTTTAACACAACTAATGTGTTAGACAGCAGCAGTGTGTTGTTGAAACCTTTTACACACTAATGTGTTATAGTAACACAACTTGTGTCAGATACGCGTCACATGTGACTGTAGTCGGAGAGTATTTGCCAGAGTTACTTCCCGTGTGCTTACAAAAGTGTTTGGATGAACACTGACACGTATTGGTAACTTGTGTTTATGTAGTCCAGTGATGTTTAATAGAGTTTGTTTGAACATTTGGATGTTTTAAACATCATTAATCTACATAGACAAGCTCTTATTGAGAATTAACAGAGGTTTGATGTTTCATTTCAGTTTTATTTCAAGTCACCATAATCGTGATTAATGGCTCCTTTATTTGGGCTCTTGACCCTTTACTCTTGTTTTAGTGTTTCTCTGCCTGCTGTAACTGTATTTTATAAAATACATCTGTTATGGTGATAGAAAATATGATCAGATGGTTCTTGACGATGTCATAATCAGCAAGTTATGATCAAGTTTTTGAGTATATGGATGGAGTGCTTTATTTTAATGATTTATTGTTAGTTCTGAAAGTTTTGTGAAACTACATCCAGCAATCAAAAAGTGCAGAATGACAAAAAAAGTTTAAAGCTACGGCAGAAACCAGTCAAACACAGATATCAATAATCAGCGTATGGATCTCAATAATGGTGACAAACGAAAAATTTCAGGCCGCAATGCATGCTGGTACTTATGGATGAGCTTTATACTAGAGACATGAAGCTTTGCCACCATTGTTGAGAGTCATATGCTGATTCTTGATGTCTGTATTTGACTAGTTTATGCTGCAGCTTTAAACGTTCTCTAAACATATATTTTTTAAGAATTATAGCATGAGGTAGCATACACCATAATATCATGTAAAAACTGAGTATCTTTAATCAAATATAAGTGATCAAATATACGTTATCTCTTAAACATTAAACTTCTCTTGCTATGTTAAAAAAAAACATCATGTTGAAAACTGATCATTTAATGATCTTTTTCCTCAAGATGATTTCAACTGTTTCAGATGTGCAAAATAAATACACAGAAACAGCAAACAGAGAAACGAATGATAAAAAGTGAAGGGTCAAGAGCCCAAATAAAGCTGCCACTAATCACGATTCTGGTGACATCAAAACAAACATTCAATGAATCGTCAACACAAAACCTGGTAATTCTCAATAAGTGTTTCTGTAGACGTCTGACAGAAATAAATTGTTTGTTATAATAAATTAGTTATTAATAACAAGTGAAATCAGCATTTGAAAAAAAAAACATTGAAACCGAGGCATGATGTGATTGGCTGCCAAAAACACTCATTAATCTGAAGTTTTTTTTATGAATTAAGATTTTATTTATTTATTGTAATGTATTGTTTCATTTATTTTAGAGCTTGTTATGGGATACCATATAAAATATACTACCACTAATTATGTTCTTAAACACAAACTTTCCTCCTCCACCCATTAAAATTCTATCCAGTTACATTTTAACACACATTGTGTGTTAAAAACTACACAACTTGTGTCAAAATACCATCAACACATTATGTGTGTTGTTTTTTAACACATCTCTTTTTAGAGTGTAGAGAGACACCTTGGAGGTCCCCGTGAGGGTTTTAGAGCCGATCCTTTTGTAATCATTTCCATTCTATGGTATAGAACAGAGTAACAGACACATATTGCAGACATATTTGATAAGTAGCTTGGCTTTTTACGGAAATTGTACAATTATACTCGGAAGACAGGGCCACATAATTTGTTTAGCTCGCACAAAGCTTTTCAAACAGTAGTATGAAGGTTTTGCGGGCCCGGTTCTGCAAAGAAAATGTGTGAAATTGAGTTTCCCATTAGACAATGTAATGACGTTTTACATTAGGGGTGCCTAAGTTGGCAGACTGTGTTTGGGTCATAAAAACCCTTGGCTGGCAAATAACTTCTTTTAACTGCACAGACATAAATAAACAACAATATGTAAAGGCAAATGAATCTGTGAAGTTTGAGGAGCAATTAAAAAGAGCACCTGAAAAATATTATAGTACAAACACACCTTTTATTTGGTCCCTTTTGACAGCAGATGGCGCTGGAGTGTGTTTTATGTGCTGAACTGCAAACCATATAGGCTAAACTGACTTTTGTACGTGAACACTACTGTATTACCTAGAAAGTGTAGAAATGACTCACTATTAAATTTAACATGTTTCACTCGAATCATTTTTTTGTTTGTTTTATCTGCAAATTCACCCAAAATATCTAAGTTGGGCAAACAAGATTAGATTAGATTAGATTAGATTTATTTGACCACTTAAATATAAAAATATGAAGAACATTAAGAAAAACTGTTGCATACATTAAAAACAAATACAAAAGTAGTCAGGGATAACACAATAAAGCCCGAAGACTTATTTCCATTGTGGTCCCTCACAAAAAAATTTGTGACAAAAGAAATTAAATGTAGGCTACATATATTTTAAATATCATGCAATTTTAATATTTTGTATGATGTTTTATTTAACAAAGAGCACGTTTGGGGAATCGACCAATCAGCGCATAAGGAAACCGGTATATCCATCTCATACCTGTCCCGTGAGTCCGTGACAGTTTCACATCTCTCCATGCACCCTCCCTCTTGGCAGGTTTCTATCCCAGTAATGGAGGGGAGTACTCTGGGTTCTGAACTCGAAGCCCTCACACGGACATCACGCCAATACGCATAAATTACTATAGCCTATTTGATTTCGTGTAGCCTACTTGTAAACTCGTGAAATGCTAAAAATTAAGTGTTGCACTGCTGTTATGTCCATGGCATTCTTTCTTCAGTCGAAAATGCATTTTTTTGATGAAAACATTCCAGGATTTTTCTCCATATAATGCACTTTACTGGCCACCAAATGGTTCAAGGTCCAAAAGACAGTTTTAGTGCAAACTGCAAACAGTTCAAAGGGCTTTAAACAGTTCCAGACGATGAATAAGGGTCTTATGATCGCTTATTTAAAAAAAAATAACAAAGTTTAAGTTTTATAAACTCAAATGCTTGCCTTGCTCCGTTCTGTGTGAGTCTCCTGTTCGAACTCGTTTATCAAAATGAGCGAATCTTTTTTTCGTGTCATTTCTTCTTTTGGTTCATTCAACGAATGAAATGAACGAACTGACTCGGAAAAAGATTCGTTCATGTTGATTATTCATTCTCTGGAATCGTTTAAAGCCCTTTGAACAGTTTGCACTGAAACTGTCTTTTGGACCTTGAACCGTTTGGTTCCCATTGAAGTCCATTATATGGAGAAAAATCCTGGAATGTTTTCATCAAAGACCGTAATTTCTATTCGGCTAAAAAAAGAAAGACATGGACAGCTTGGATGACATGCGGGTGAGTAAATTATCAGCAAAAGTTTTTTTTAAAAGTGAACTCCTTTAACGCCACCCATTGACTTCCATATTAGGAAAACCATTACAATGGAAGTCAATGGGTGCCATCAGTTGTGAGTGAAGGGTGAATAAATGATGAAAAAAAATCTTTTTGTGTGAACTTTCCCTTTAACACAGTTGATGCTGGATAGTTTTAATGGAAAGATTTTCAGAGGATAATCCCTATTAATCTGCATTTTATCCGAAGACCAGGCCTAATTTGTGTTGGTATCAAGCACTTTGATACTATTGGCTGTATAATAATGCAGTGGAAAATATGTTGACAGCATATGCTCTTCCCTGTAAGGCTATACAGTACTTTAACTGAAGAGGACTATGCTTAACTTACCTGAGAGTTCATCTACCATTCCAGTTGAAGAGCCCTGCAACTACACACTCATACACACTCACGCAAACAGCTAGAAGCAGCTCACACACATGGCTGCGCTTGGGGTGAATTAAAATAGTGAGGACGCAGCATTATGTAAATGCAGGCCCATTCCCCTCTCCAGCTCTCGGAAAATTGGATGATGTGTTACAATGATACCGGAGTGAATGGAAGGGCACGGTCTCAGGTTCCCATCAGCAGCATTTCCTCCTCTTCTGCCATCTTAC